AATATAAATCGTTTAGGCAAATGTTTTGCTTTTGTTTTGCAATTACGGAAACGCTCTTACATTGAAAATCTCCAAGTAACTAACGTGCGACATGTGATAATTAACGCACACAGTTGTGATAAGAGTTGTTTACGACGTTGATACATTTTGTACAAAGCTACACAATGTGCGCGTATCACGCGATGACACACACGCGTATCTAGTCGTTATACAATCTCGATTATGCATAAACAACATAAAATTCATGCGATAAGTATTATATATATATATATATGTATTCATCCGCTTATCTTGAAATGACTCAGAAAACAATTAGCATACCGTAAAAATTTATGAGTTTGAACTACATATCTGGCATTCGCAAAAGCTCGAGTTTTCACAATCATTTGTATAAAAAAATAAAATACAATGTGACAACTTTTGTTGTGTGCGCGCGCGCGAAGTTCTATTCAGTTTCTCAAAAATTTCACTTCGTAGAAAATTGCGTTCGATAAGGTGAGTCGTTGCGCGCTGACCTTTCGACAATCGCCTTTCCACTCGATCTAGCAGGAGAGCAGTTACTCGTACGGCATAAACTAGGAAAAAGAGCTTACAGCGTCATTGTTCGGTAATCTAGACAGTGCAGTATCTTGCGGAACGTGTAATCTGTTAAAGTCAGTTGCAAACAATAAAATATATATATCTTGGAGACAAACAATAAATATATCTTTATCGCGGAGAAAATAAAAATCACACAATGATTTCGAGCCGTGGCTCGAGTACACGGCGCGAGTAAACGACGCTATTGTAACCGCGCTATAAATTGGAACAAGACTATCGCAAGACGATTCGCGTTATCGCTAATAGACGCTGTGAGGCGTGATGTATGTTTTTCATCCATTTGTCAGGCAAAAATGACGCATTCGCTATTGTTTCACGCGATGCGACTTCCGGGAAACACGTTTTACACGTGATTACCTAATACTCGCGTGTTGTGCAGTTTGATACACTTGAACTGTTTGGTAAAAAGGAGCGCTCTTATCACACAGACGTCCCCAGCCACACGAGTCGATAAAATGCCGCCTGTACGCTTTAAATATAGCGAGGAAACAACATGTGTTCGATTTACATTTAATTTCTGTGTGCCGTATAATATGTAATGCGATTGTAATTATTACACGATGATATCCCGAATTAGCGCGCACGTGTTATCGTCATTTTTTGTTGCGTTTTTTTGCGGGACTAAAAACAAATGACATTTAACGCAGTTTTTAATCAACTCATTTGTGTATTTTCACAACCATTTTGAAAACCATTGCGTGTACGAAAAATACGAGAATTGTGTGCATTTAAATTAAACAGATAATTTTTCTTCTCGTTTCTGTAAATTTTCTCGTTGCAAATAAGACATATATAGCGCAGAAATATACATCTTGTCGTCAACCGGCTTCAATGCCATTGACCGGGCCGATACGTGATATCGATTTTACGTGCAATCTCTCCGTGGCTCGCGAAAACCGCGAGGTGTCTGATAACCCCGTCGCGCCGACATAATTTTCGAACATTTTTATCCGCAGTCTAATGCAACAAGAGGTCAAGAGTTGCGCCGATAAGATGATGTGCTCTTGCGTAGACGTGCGATGAGATAGCAAGTAAATATTGACCGTAAAAATAAGATAACGTAAGAAAGAACATATGCAAGAGATACAATACGCACGTACATACATATGTATTTATATTCGTATACGTCTCTCTTTAAACTAAAAAATAAAAAGCACCTGCGCGACAATGTGCAAAGGACACGACTCGTTCTCGCACGTTCGCGTTTTATCGATTTCAGAAGAAAGTTTGTTTATAAATAATCGCGCGCGACATTAAGAATTTTCTTCGCACTTGGCGAGCTAGGTGTTTTTTATATTTCAAAGTGAAAAAATTTATCGCAGCGTGAAAGAGCTGCGTCATAGAATTATAACCGCGCGATTAGACACGCATCGGTTATTAGAAAATCAATGACGTAACGTGTAACATGGGTATCGTATTCGATGAACGTAATTTTCACGCCTGAGATGCGTCCGATACAAGCAAGCGGCATGTCGAGTATATTCTTAAAAGATATTCATTGCGCAGTTTATCATCGCGCCATTATCTATTTTAGTTTACAAATACAATTGGAGATAAATACAAATACAATTGGAGATAAATATTAAATAGACTCTGACGGGGATATCAATGATTGAAATAGACCGCGTCTGTTGTTGAAAATGTAAAAGACGTCGCTTTTTAAATGTATAATGTATTTTTTTTTTTTTTTTTTTCACGTCACTAACCGGTCAACGCGGACTCTCATGGGTACGATACAAAAGCGAGGAAACGCAAGTGCGCAACGCATTTATTTATAAGCATATATCGTCTCACGGAAAATTTTCCAGCCGCAAAGATTACAAAGACCCTCTCTCTCGTATTGCTGAACGGTCAAGTGACTCGCTGAGTAAACGAGTCTAAAGTAGTGTCAATTGCCAGGATTTAAGAATTTTCCAAAGGCAGCAGGGGGTCTTGTTTGCCACGCGACCCGGTCTGTGTCGTCGTAATTTAACTGTAGATTATGCGATGCGTCTTGATGCGCGTTCTTTTTAACGCGATAAATTGCCAATTACATAACGGTGTTTGATATTCCGCGTCGAAAGAGAACGCGCGTGTGGTTTACGCATTAAGCGTGTAAAGCGATTGCAATTACAAAAACACTATCGCCCGTAATTGTTAAAAAAAAAAAAAAAAAAAAAAAAAACGAAAGCGGAGAAACGAATGCAATTTCGTTTTGTGCAGTCTCGCGTTCTCGTTCGAGATTTTCGAAGCGGAATCGCTCGAACGCGGCGACTAGCTGTCTGGATGGTATAAATCTCAACTGGCTCCGTTCCAAAGAGCATGGCGGAAACAAACGAGGTCGATTGTGTGTCTGCGATTCGAAAGTTTCCACGAAATCATTTCGGACGAGATGAAAAATTAGGAACACGTTGTTGTCGCTCGGCGACTACTTTGTACTCGCGTCACACCGCGCTCGGCGAAACGCGAACACGTAGTTAGGTTGGTGTCAAAATGGAAAGTTTATAACATTTTACTACAGCACACTTGGCAAGGAAATCTTGATACACGTTTAAGTGGAAAATTCAGAATGTTAAATTGGCAGAGAGAGAGAGAGAGAGAGAGAAAGAGAGAGAGATTGTTGTGCTATAGTGGAAACTTTTATTCACGTGAATTTTAATAAACATGTTAATATTATTCAACATATACGAAAATAAAATGTTGTTTTTTCCTTAATCTGCTTACTTAATATATTGTCAAAAATAGATTTCGATAAACAAATAACACTTTTTGTTATGCAAAACGTAACTCACTGCAATTTTTTTTATTACTGGTGATTAATGAACAAAAAAACACTTTTCTATAGTAAAGATAAATAGAAAAAGAGAGAGGAAGTTTTTTAAAATTTTAAATTAAAATATATACCTAGAAGCTATAGTTCATTGCTGAACGCGCGCGCGCGTAGGGTCGATAAAATTGAAAAAACATACTCAGTCAATGTAAGAGACGTTTCGGTGATTTATTCTGATCGTCTTCGGCCAATCTCTTCTTGAAAATTCAAGATTTTACGGTTTATTCACCTAACATCTTTCTCTGTTTTATATATTCTCGTACTCTCTTGCTCTCTCTTTTATACTTGCTTTCATCCCCCAGTATTATTTTCGCCTGAGGAAATCAAACAAAACTAAAAACGCTGCTAAGAGTTAGCACAGTCAAAGTAAGGCGCTTCTCAGTAAGAGAACCAAAGAAGAGACGTTTCCGTAAATAAACTGACTGGAGGGCTGCTTGGTGACCAAGAGGATGGGCACCTAAGCGCGCTTTTCGGAGGAACAAATTTGGTAAGCATAGAAAGCGCGGAAAGTTTCGTGTGTCATCATCTCTCTACTGTAGCACCAGAGTCTTTGCGAACGATGTACAAAATGTACGCTCTAAAAATTCGATTTCAAACAATTTTGCTTTACATACAAACGATAAAAATAAATTTTTAATTTTTACTCGAATAATACTCTTCAAATTTACTGTAAAGCAAATTTGAGACTTAAAAAAAAAAAAAAAAAACAACAACAAGATGTTCAATCGAACTTATTAAATTACTGATTGATTGAGACTTAAAAAAACATTACGGGACGTCTCAAATTTCTCGGAATTTATCTTTGGCAGTTAAAACAATTAGGCAATCGAGTAGGTAATCAAATATCAATTTGTAATTTTTATCTCAAATATAAATGTATTAATTCTTAAATTTCAACTTAAATAAATTTAATACCATTGTGTTCAAATACACATGTAAAAAAAAAAAAAAAAATGCAAAAATGGTGAACTAAGACCATTGTGAACAATCACATCCCTGGTGGGGATCGAACCCACGACCTTTGGATTAGAAGTCCAACGCGCTATCCTCTGCGCCACAGGGACATTCGACAGATTCAGCGCGTCGATTAGTATAATAGAATGGCCGTGTCTTCAACGTGTTTTTAACAGATGTCGCCAGCATGAGCGACATTGATACGAGAGATGCACAAACTCAAATGAATTGGCAAGGCATTTCGAAATTGATAAAAAAGTAAAACGGTTGTTCGTCGAAATGATTTTACGTTATCAAACGCACGTTACGCACGTGAGATTTGTCACACACGCGTGAGAAATAATCAAATCATCTGAGTATTAATCTGGTAACGCGCGATTTGTTTCGACCAGGGCGACTAGCGAATCTTGTGTCATTCCTGCGCGCGAGGGTTCCACACCGAGGAGGAGGGATTCGACGGGAAAGATGGCCGTCGTGGAACATATGACAAAGAACGGCGGGCTCCTGTCACCATCGACGGCGGCGACATCCACACGACGACGACGACGACGACGGGGAGGACGTAGCTCATCCCGACACCGCTAATCGCCGTCGTGAATCCGTCGCCTGCCGCGCCTGCCGGCGGCCGCGTCGTCGCGGCGTTTTTCCCGGGTGCGACGAGAGAACGCGGAGAAGTGACAGGGAAAGGTGAATTCGCGCGGAGTGTGTGTGTGTGCGCGTGTGTGTGTGCGGTGCGGTGCGGTGTGTGCGCGCGTGTATATATATGTGTGTGTGTTATCGGGCAGCTGTGCTGCGAGTCATCGCGAGTCGAGGCTGGTCGAGGTCGCAGTCGAGGACCAACAAGTCAAAGACACTTGCCGCTCCGTGTGTGCGATCGCAGCCGACGCCGTGTCTCGCGACAGCGGTGATATAGCGCGGCGCAGCGGGGGAGCCATGACTACGCGTGGAGAATGGGCTCGATCGCGTCGGTGCTGCAGTGGCATTGCTCGGAATGCGCCCTGATAAATCCGACGGAGAGTGCGAGATGCGCCAGGTGCGGGCTAACGCGGTTCAGGAGCGACGAGAGGGCCAGCCTCGGCAGGCTCGATCGTACCTCGTCCGTCTCGTTCATCGCTGCGGAGTGTAGCGCGCACCAGGAGAGGAGCGGGAAACAAGTAACGGGAGGAGGAAACGAGCGGCGATCGACGAGACGGCACGAGGACGAGGATTGTCCGCGCGGGGAATCGTCCTCCGGAGAATCGACGCCGCCGACACCGCCGCCGAGGACGGACAAGTTGTTGGCGCGCAACTCGACGGAAACATCTCTGTCCGTCGATCGGCGCGTCGAGTCTCGACGTCCCGTCGCTTCTTCTTGGTGAGGATAGATCTTGGATCACATTTTTTTTTTTTTTTTTTTTCATCATCCTTTTCTCACTCTGTTTTGTATACACTGTGTGTTGCATAATTTATGAATAAAAACTCGAGTTGGTACCTATGAGTTATTTGGATTGATGTGGTTCGTGGTACCTTTACTACATGCATACAGCTTTGTATTGACTATATGTATATATGTGTCTTATAGTTTCTGTTTATATGTCATATATTTATACATGTGTTGATATTATTTCATTATCTAAAATCTGCTTTTAAAAGTCTCTGTGCCACTCTTAGTGTATATTTCTGAACGATTGTTATTTTATGTTAAATGTATTTACACTTGACAAAAATAAAAATGTCAATATATAAATTTTTGAATCATTGAATAAATTAAATATCATGTAATGTCGTTTATTTGTTTGTTTTCTACCATCTGTGCGTTGCAATTGTTTTGTTGCTTATCCTCTCAAAAGAATATAAATTTTTTCGAGAATATACGGTTTGTTACTTTTCTGTCTTGATTTTGACACAAATTGGAAATAAATGTGACATTTTCTTAGGACACACATTTCTGTAAACTTGCAGTTTTGAGAGATATCAATTGGCATCCAGCAACAAGACTTCACATCGTGGTTCATGGAGTGGTGATTCGTCCGAAAGAGGAAAACCGCTAAAACGTTTTTCCTCTTTACCTTCTTTAGTCACACAGTGGACTTGTATTCGATGTCTATTGGACAATAATTGCAGCTCATTGATTTGCGCGGCTTGTGACGCCAGTGCATCGATAGCTCGAATTGACGGGAGGCAGATTGGCGCACGAAAGAGTAAAAAAATTAATTTACACAAAGAAAATCGTCTCAAAGTCACGTCTGGATTTTTGGCTAATATCTTAGACAGTGGCGCTAGTTCCAGTAACGATGATAAAAGTAATAGTACAGGTGAGTTGATTGTGAATGCGAAATTTAAAACGTGTTCTAAATAATTGACAATTATGTTTTTAAACGTGTTTTCAGGCATGGCACAGTTGACAAGCATAAGTCGAAACGAAGGCGAAAGAGTGGACCGCAAAGATTGGATTTTACCGTCACTAGGAATGATGGAGTCTACCACGCTTCCGTTCACAGATAATAGCGATACCACTCAACGTTCTCCAAAACGGCACAGTCCCTCCATGTATGAGCGAGTCAAGTCTAAAGTCAGCCGTTCTTTATCAAACGGTTCCGTTGTTCAGAAATTGTCGGAACACGTGGTTCAGAGACCCACGAGCCTAATGGTGCCGGAAACACGTCAGGATGACGGCTTGTGGAGCTGCGATAATTGCACGTTGGACAATGCACCTGGTTTGGAACAGTGCGAGGCATGTGACGCTCCCCGGAGTCCTGCGCCTTGTAGTGGAGTGGTTATCAGTGTGCCTGCTTGGGTGCCACGCGCGTTATCGTCCGCGGGACCCTTGTCGTACAGAAGATCTTTCTCAGATGCCGATTCGGTTGCGAATATGACGCAGAAGAAGACTGTCAATCGTAGGAGTCTAAATGATGAAGAACCGCCTGCAGTGCCACCACATTCAATTGGCTTCAACACAAGACCGAAGTATTCCTACATAGGGATCACGGATCCTGATATACCGCCGCCATTGCCAAAGAAGCAGACTAGTAAGTTGGTACCGACGAAGGCGCACAGCGAGGCGACCAGTCCCGTGGGCGATATATCGAGTCCGCTCAAACGCATGTGGACCTGCCGAAAGTGTTCTTACGCATACAATCCGCTGTGGTCTAGCGGTTGTGATATCTGCGGCTCATCCAGATCGCCTCCTTCATTAACGCAACCTAGCCTAATAACAGTTACAAAAGATACAAGTAGCTATCCGACGCACGCACAATCTCCGATCGTAGTGTCGAGAGATAGTGTCAGATACATACCACCGAAATCGGCCACTCTGGCCACGGCGGAATCCGATCTGGACGATCAGGTCGATCCGCCGTCGCCAGTATGGACGTGCAAAAAATGCACTCTGCTGAATGCCGCGTCGAGAACAACATGCGAAGCTTGCTGCGGTTCGAAATTGAAGAGCATCATGCATCTGGAGGACGCCACGTTACGAAAGGGAGAAAGTTGGGTTTGTCCGTCGTGTACGTTAAGGAATCCCCTGTCGACGCAGAACTGTAATGCCTGCAAAACGTTAGCGGACTTTTTAGAAGTTCCGAAAGACAATAGAGCTCTGGGTCAACGAAGTCCAAGTCCGAGACTCTGCTCAACCCCGGCAAATTCCAAAGCAGTTACACCAAGACACAGAAATTCCGTAAGAAAAAATGGCTCTTCGGCAAATGACAAAAGGCATTCAAAAACCAGAGACTCTTCAAACGCTCAAGTTGGTATTTCTGTGATTTGATTACATTTTTCAAAGTATATATATAAGTTTTTTTAATTTGGTTTTTTTAATTTAGTTAAATACAATAACCTTGTTCTTTTTGATAAGTTTTTATTTTTTATTCTGTTCTTGTTTTGTTTTAGTTGTTAATTTATCTCTTTATTTATAGTCTATAATTTTTTTGCTTGTCTAGTGGCAATGCAAATTGTGCACATACGAAAACAAGAGTACAACTGCAGTTTGTGAAATGTGCCAAAGCTCGAAGTTGCTGTCGCAAATATCAGGAGATAGAGGAATATCGAGACTTCTCGAATCGGGTACCAGCACTCTTAGAATACAACGACAAGAGAGCGTTGTGATGGAAAATCTCAGACAGCTGGAGGAGAGAGAAGCGTTAGAAAAATGGGAGCGCATTGTACGATACTGCAAGGAGGTAATAAATAGTCTATTGCATGACGTGCATCTGATGCGATTGAATTGCGAATCGCACAAAATGTTCTTCAAATTTTATTTTGTAGACAAACGAGCCGTTCGTCGATGATTCGTTTCCACCTGCTCCAAAATCTTTGTACTATAATCCCGCGGAAACAAAGGATAATCATGTTGTCCAATGGAGAAGGCCGCATCAAATTAATGTCGATTCAAGTGTCGATTCTAAACTGCCTTGGGCTGTCTTTAGGACGCCCCTACCTTCTGATATCTCGCAAGGTGTGTTAGGAAATTGCTGGTTATTGTCAGCACTGGCTGTTCTGGCCGAGAGTGACGAGCTAGTGAGAAGAGTTTTGGTCATGAAAGAGACGTGCCCCGAAGGTGCTTATCACGTTAGACTTTGTAAAGATGGAAAATGGACAACAGTTCTTGTTGATGATTTATTACCCTGTGATAAAAGAGGTCACCTAGTATATTCTCAGGTTTGTGTCATATATGTACGTGTAATACATTTTAACACATTTATGAGACACATTTATTCATATTATTTTTAGATTATTTTTATGATGTCGCAATATATACAGTTATATATTATTTTTATATTGAAGGCAAAAAGAAAACAACTTTGGGTGCCGCTAATTGAAAAAGCAGTTGCTAAAATACATGGCTGTTACGAAGCTTTAGTATCCGGCCGTGCTATAGAAGGTCTAGCAACGTTAACTGGTGCACCGTGTGAGAGCGTGCCTTTACAACCTTCAGCATTGCCAAGCGAAGATGAACTCGACAGGGACCTAATATGGGCACAACTCTTGTCCTCGAGGCAGGCTATGTTTTTAATGGGTGCTAGCTGCGGAGGTGGTAATATGAAGGTTGACGAGGAGGAATATCAACGCAAAGGTTTAAGACCGAGGTGAATTTCTTAAGAAGTTACTAGTTTTTTTTTTTTTTGTAGTTTTTTTATCAAAAGTTTGATTTTCGGAATTTAATCTCTTTGTGTCAATTTGTTTTTAATTAAAAATGTTTTTCAGACATGCATATTCTGTCCTCGATGTACGTGATGTACAGGTATGTTTCACAAATGTTTGATGTGTGTTTACATTAATCTGTATCAGATTCGATTCTGCCACTTATCTTAAAACAAAATGTTCAAGTATTTCGCTGATAAAAAGAAATAATTATCACACAGGGAATACGGTTATTACGACTGCGCAATCCTTGGGGTCACTACAGTTGGAAAGGAGACTGGTCGGACGATAGTCCTATATGGACGCCGCAATTACGAGAGATGCTCATGCCACATGGTGCTTCGGATGGTGTTTTTTGGATATCTTTTGACGACGTTTTGAAATACTTCGATTGCATCGATATCTGTAAGACGCGAGTTGGATGGAGTGAAGTGAGATTACGCGGCACTCTTCCTCCGTTGTCGTCTCTTAGACACTTGTCGTGTGTTCTTTTGACAGTACTAGAACCTACTGAAACGGAGTTTACGCTGTTTCAAGAAGGTCAAAGGTGAGACGATTAAACCGTTTCTTTCTGTCACACACACGTATATTAACAAACAATAATTTGACAGAAACTCGGAAAAATCACAACGCTCTCAATTGGACTTGTGCGTGGTGGTCTTTCGTACGAGATCACCAGCCGCTCCAGAAGTCGGTAGACTGGTGGAACACAGTAAGCGACAAGTGCGCGGTTTCGTAGGCTGTCACAAGATGTTGGAAAGGGATTTGTATATCGTCGTGTGTTTAGCTTTCAATCACTGGCACACCGGAATGGAAGATACGTCCAGTTATCCCGAATATGTTCTTGCTATTCATAGTTCAAAGAGACTTCTAGTCGAGCAGATATCACCACCTGCTTTTGTCTTAGCTGATGCTATTATAAGTTTAACATTGGCTAAAGGACAAAGACACGAAGTGAGCGTTTTTTTAAATATAATATACATAAAGCAATTTTACTCTCTTGAAATTTACATTAACGCAAACAACTTACAGGGCAGAGAAGGTATGACTGCCTATTATTTAACTAAAGGATGGGCCGGTTTAGTGGTAATGGTCGAAAATCGTCACGTGAATAAATGGATTCACGTAAAATGCGACTGCCATGAGAGCTATAACGTTGTGTCCACGAGAGGACAACTCAGAACTGCCGATAGTGTTCCCCCTCTTCACAGGTAAAATAACATCGATACCGATATTATTTGTATAGTTTTTTTTTATGCTTTATGCTATTTCGCTTTCAGACAAGTCATCATAGTTCTAACGCAATTGGAAGGTAGCGGAGGTTTCTCAATAGCACATCGACTCACGCACAGACTAGCTAATAGTGGAAATTTGCATGATTGGGGGCCGCCTGATACACAACATTGTCCTCAAATCGATACTCAGGTGGAAGGTTTGCACAGTCCTCGTTTGATAACGTGAAAAAATAAAATATGGAACGAATAAAGACTGAACATTATTTGGGAGATGTGTTGCCGATTGTAGTTAAAAAAAAAAAACAAAAAAAAAACAATTCTCGTGTTCGCGACATCGAGAAATTGACTGACAAAAAACCAAAGCAAGCTAGAAAACGTTTCATACGATATTCTGGAGACGGTTAAAAATACTGTTTGTGCTTTCTAGCTGACGATGCTCTAGGACGAATGCACTTAGCGCAATATGCTCAGCATTCGACGTAATATACAATAAGCAACAATTAAATGTACAATGGTTCTGGACCCCAGTGTTATAAAAAGTCTTGAAAAAAAAAAAGTACTTTTTTTCGAGCACACATAGAGTGAGTTATGCGTTTCGTGCGCGTTTGACGAGAGAAAGCATGAACTTATTTAAAAATACAAAAACAACAACAACAAAAAATAAAACAAGAAAGATAAGATAAAACTTATGTGCAAATTAAGTGTTTCTGCTGGAACCATTGAGTTGTAAAGACTTACGGGAAATTGAATATTTATGAAAAATCAAGTTGAACGGTTTGCTTGTTAAATATAAACAAAAAAAAATTATTTTCTCAACTTAACATTTAAGCATCTTAAGGAATGACAAAAACTTAAATATTATACACACAATAATGTAATATAAAATAAAATAAAAACCACTAGGAAAGATTTAAGGATGTGTAAAAAAACACCTTACACATTGTCTTTGGAATTGCGTAGAGTGTAGCACACGATTTACAAATCGGATCATTTCCGATTTTAACAAGAAAAAAAGAAAAAAAAAAGAAAAAAACAATGTTTACATGTCGATCCTATTTCTATATACGTGTAAGGCCGTGTTTGAAGAAACCCGTGTTTGAAAAACAACTTGTATTACCTTAGGTTTATTATATATTTGACATATGCATCCACATGTGGAAAACAACAAGTTGAAATCTTAACGAGGATTTTCACGTTCCGATTATGGCATTGATTGTTTATCGGGTTTATCTCTATCTAGGCATTGTTGTTTCTCTCCATCTTGACACCGGATGGGGAGCTTTGTGCTAAACAAAAAACAAAAACAAAAAAAAAACAACGGTAGCGCACGGCTACGGAACCAAAGATCTCTCTTGAAAGTTAATATTTTGACGCGTTCACTGCCATTCTATGCAATGTATATAGCCTATTTTTGCCTATGTTACACGGTTGCTTAGAGATTGGTTAGTTGAGAACAGAAATTGGAATCTCATCAAAACGACATTCCTTGTACCATTTGTGTTTTTGTGTTTCGAAATACGTTGTAAGATACATGCGCAAGCGTGGCAGTCAGCGGGTTGTCATCAATTTTTGTCTTTTTATACATATATAATTACAATTATATATATATATATTATATATATAAAATTATATATAAAGTATTTATATACATAATATAAAATTATATATAAGTATTTATATATAAGATTATATATAAAGGATGTGTGTGTAAAATTTTCTTGTTTTTGTCTGTTGAGTCGAATATCGCATATGTATATCTTGTATATATAATGGTAAGTTTTTATGTAAAAAACCCGATGTTTCAATTTCATTGTCGCGCGCGTGCTCGCGAACAACGAGAAAATCCACATAATATTTTAAACAACACTTGAACTCGCGCAACATGTCTTACAATTATGTCGAATAAAAACAAAAAAAACTTGTTTGTGGTGCTTTCTCTACATACATTTATATATAGTTTTCTACATTGAAGTTTTTTCAAAGTGAAAACAACTTTGTGTTAGATTGATGAATTATAGCCGTGAACATTTTTTCATATCGCAAATCTCACACAGTTTCACTTGTATGCAATTATTGTCTCCCATAGAGAAAAACAGCGGGGAGCTGCTCGTTCTCCTCGTCGATCTCAGATTAGAGCAGGCCGAATTGTTTTTTGCCAGGCCTAAAGGTGTCAGCGACTAGTTTTTAAGAGTTTAAACTGAGAATATATAGTTTTTTGGGAAATATTCTGTTTGAACAATGCGATCCATTACACAATGCGTAACATGTAATTGACGGAAATATGTACGTCCAAACAATCAGACTACATTAATCGCCGCTCAAGATTCAGTAAATGTTTGTTATTATCGAGAATCGATTCTCCGACGATATGTGACTTGTGATGTAATATGTAAACAACGTATGTGTAATATCTGTTGATTGATTAACGACTTAATGCAAACGTTTTTAATTCGTCGAGAGGAACGTTCGAAGAATTTTATTCTTTATTCGAGAGTTCTTGTGATTATATTTGCAGTAGATCCTTATTGAGTGTGGCCTTCGGTTATAAAGATAAAGGATAAAAGAGTTCACTAAATATAAGACGAACTATATATATATATATATATACATATTTAAATAAACAAATATGTATATGTATATATTTATCAAAGTATGCTTCAGGTAATTGAGAAAAATGAAACGTATCCTGAGAGTGCTGATGATATATTAGGAAAAAAAAAGAAAAAAAACTAAACTGAAAAAGAAATTTCATCTCATTAACTCTCAAATCGTACACACGCACACAACATAATAGTTTCATGAGATCGTATGCGCAGTTTTTTTAAACAGACGTAATTGATATATATATATATATATATATGTGTGTATATATATATATATATATCGAAGGCTAGAAAATATATACTCATATTTTTTTTGTATTAAAAGCACAAGTGTTGTATTCGCGCGAGAGGATGACGTTTTGAAAACAGCTAGATGAGAATAATATGCCGGTACGATGTCGTATACACGACGAGATCTCACCATTCAATGTGAAAATAACGACGAATGGCGAGTCGCCCGCACGAACGGCGTGACCCGCACATTCGCACGCCATATAATGTAACATGTAATAAGCGTTCTTACGCAAAAAAAAAAAAACATAAGCAAACATATAAAATAATCTATTTTACATATTTTACATAGTCACACACCGAGTTTAAGGCGTTAAGACGTGTTTCCGTTTCGCGGCGTAAAACTGCGTGCTGTGTTTGTCAAGGCAGTAATGAATATTTAATTTGTTAAAAAAAAAAAAAAAAAACAAACAAACAAACAAACTTGGATACGTGTAATATATATATATATATATATCTGATACACGCATGGTTTACTTTTAACTACTGTGCACATGTAACAGAAACAAAAAATCGACGATATTAATCTTAAAAAAAAAAAAAAACAAACAAAAAAAAGATCTGCAAGAATCTCGTGATTTTGATATATTTTGATACGATGTGGAGAGAAGATGTGGCAAAGAGTTCGATCGTCGCCGTTTCTATCATACAAATTGTCGTGAAAGATCCGCACAAGCTAGGAAAATGGATAAGATTGTACATTTAAGAAATAATAACTCATACGCGCGTTTGGCGCTACACACTCGTCTCTCTTTTTATTAGAAGTAATATCAGCACCGATTTGTTAAAATCGCTTTTGTGTATTTTTTTTTTTTTTTTTTAATTGAGCAAAGTGAAATTCTCCGAAAAGAGTGTTGCTGATACGATTCGATCGTTTTAATGCTAAACGCGCGATGAGAGAATGCGGGCCTACATAACATTCTTGAGCGAAGTACCACTTGTACATAAAAAAAAAAGAGGGATAATTTATTCTATTTATGGAAGAGAAAGAAAAAAGAGAGTGAGAGAGGGAAAAAAAAAACAGATGAAAAAATATGTTGCGTTACATTTGAGTAGTTTTGCATGTGCTTCTCAGTGTCTCTGCAGCACGTGGCTGCCAAGCCGCGCGCTTGGCGAGAGTTATTCGCGCGTAAAACGCATTCAATATAAATATATAAATATATAAATATATATATATATATATACATAGCGCAGTTAGAAAGTGATATACCGAGATCGAGATACGACGATGACGTGCGATGAACGTAAATATTCGTTCGTGGATTGTCTCTGTCGTGACGATCCTTGTAAAAAAAAAAAAAAAAAGAAGAAGAAGAGCACGCCGTTTTTGGAAACACGCCGCGCGTTGCCGTCTCTCGTATGATAAAAGCCGACGGGTCACTTTGCGGATGATTGCACGTCATCGCAGAGTACCTAGGAAATATATTCTTAATATGTGAAGAAAATATATAAGAATTAACAGGTGTCTCGTTGTATTTGTATAAATAAGGTGTAAAGAAAACAAAAAAAAAAAAAGAAAAAAAAATAAAACAGAATGGTGTCATTTTTCTCATGTGGTCATTGAGCGAGAGACTTCATAAATGATGCTACGTACCGGGTGAATTCTAAATTGCATACAAGCGTATTAATTGCGTGTTCGCATGTTTATCTCGATGTGAGATTGGAACAAGCGGTGTATATGTATATCAATCTCTCGTAAAAAAAAAAAAAAAAAAAAGGATTCCGAATAATTTTTATATTACAGTATGTGTGCGCGCCAAATTCGGGAAGTGTTTCATATACCGTGTTTAAATTCTGGACTTGCGCGTCAAGCGTTTAATCGCACAAAGGCATATTTTATTTTTTGATCGAGGAAAAGAGTTTTCCAATCCGAGTCTCTGGATCGATTTTGCGAAATGAAATTACAATTACTGTACGAAACGAGAGAGAGAAAGAGATATGTAAACGGCGGGAAGAGGATATATAAAGGGATGAGAAATATCGCGACGAGAATGATAAATTACATTTCATATCACGGGGATTGCGAACGCGACGGTTTTTCCTTGAAAGGAAAATATTTCTGCGGAACAATCTGTATTTAAAAATCGGAATGTGTAAAGTGACGAGAAAAAAAGAAAAGGATGCTTTTTGGATACGCGTTAAAAACTTTTATGTCGTTTAGCTCGCGGCTGTGATCATTTTAGAAACACCCATGTGTACGGACCCGAACCAGCAATCAACTTTGTGATAGCCTGTGTGTGTGTACTGAATCTCATGAAAACATCGTTATAAATATTAATCCCTCCCCTCCCCCCTTCCCCATCTCCTTAATAGTTAAGATGTAATTATTAGAGTCTCATCACACACGTACACGCGCAAAAGAGAAAAAATATTTACTATGTCATTAAGTGATAATGAAGATTGTGTTGTTCCCTGATTTGTATCATGTAGGCACGTTTAATAATAAATCGAAATATTATCAAGAGATTGTTTGTTTATTCTCCCCATTGGGGAGGGGGGGGGGGAGAGTTTTGTGAAGTGTTAGCGATTACACACTCTCACGTGTGTGTGTGTGAGAGAGGAGAATACATAAATCTTCCATCTATGCGAGACCTTTCGTCTTCCGAAAATAGTATAGCACGTACGTACGCGACCGTTCATCCTATAATTAAACTTGGCCAGTGCGGCCACCAAATGCAGGTTCAGTACGCTAAGGTAGCGGCCGGTGCGCGGCCATACTTCCGTGGACAACTATTCCAGCAATTTTGAGTCTCCGAGAGAATTCAATGAGAGAGATAATTTAAAAAAAAAAGTGAAAGTTTTGATCAGACGTGTAATTTTTCAATTTTTTTTTTTTTAACGTACTCCTTAGTTAAGCCGCGCATCACAAATTTTATTACGTTTATGAATAATTCATGGTTCATCTTTTTTGAAAGAAAGCGAATGTAAAAACGAAACTTCAAAAAGATAATTCTTAAACGTGAGGTTGCAGAACTTTGTTTTTTTTCTTTTAAACCGCTGAAATTTAATCGGTTCTCGATCTCTGAGGAATTAATTGACAATGGAAGCTACTTCGAGTCGAGGAGTATGCCCGGTGTGCGGTAAGAACGCGACGTTGAAGTGCGGCAACTGCAGGCGCGAGTTTTATTGCGACAAGTCGCATCAGTCTCAGGACTGGCCGCGTCACAAATCCGTGTGCAACGCCTGGCAGATAAGTCACAGCTCCGATCTCGGACGACACTTGCTGGCGACCAGAGACCTCGCGCCGGGAGACGTGGTCCTCTCGGAGACGCCTCTGGTCTGGGGACCGTCGATTCACAACTCGGGTCAGCGGCTGTGCGTCGGATGCGGCAAACGATGCGAAGACATCGATGTGAGATGCGACAAGTGTCGCTGGCCGGTATGCAAATCCAATTGCGAGGGATTGTTCGACAAAAAGAAGCACAAGTTGGAGTGCGCTCTTCTTGCACGAGCTAGAATCATTCCCAGGTATTCCAATACGCAAGATAAGACGAGACGACATCGACTCTGTTTACTTTGAAGCTCAATTAGAGCAGAATGTTTAATAAAGGAGCGTATCTAATCGTGACTGAGAGATCACATCGTGCGATATTTGTAAAACTTCAAACGCTCAGTTTGAACGGTTTCGAAAAAAGCGGATATTTCTTCAATCGGACAGACTTTGTTGTCGTTAACTTCGCGTTTTTATCAAGATAAGTGTGCCAATGACCGGACGTTTATTAAAGTAATTTTTTATTTCTTTTTTTATTTATTGTCATATGTGACAAAATATAATTGGGCCACTCGAAATAGATTGTTTTACCAAAATAAGTTTAAAAGGACGGGCTGAGTTGTCAGATGCCAGTTTTCTATTGATTCAGATGAAAGTTTTTTTACTCATTGCGACATCAAATCGATGAGATCTTTTTTAAAAATATATCTTAAAAAATACTTAAAACGTTGAGAATTGTTATGTTTTAATATTTACGTATCTCTAACAATAATATTTATTTAATAAATATTCGGTTATTGAGACATTTATGTGCGTATATATATATATATGTTTGTAGATGCGAACTTCTTCTGGTGATTCGTATGCTGATACTGTGGCACACGAAATCGAAGCGCTGGACGTCCTTGATCAATCTGCAGAGTCACGAGGATTCACGAGGACCCGGCACGGAGGCTCACAACGAAGTGATGAGCATAATTCAGCATCTCCGTCCGCTCTTGGCGATGGCGTCCAACTGCGAGAACGTTCTGCCAAAGATCTGCGGTCTGATCGATGTAAACGCGCTGGAAACCATGCCGCCTGAAGGCTCCGTGGCGATTTACGAAAACGCGTCCCTTCTGGAACACTCTTGTGTGGCGAATACACGACACAGCTTTCACATCGACGATAAGGGCAGGCCACGTATCACCGTGTACGCAGTCACGTCGATTAAAAAGTACATACACGTTCTATTTGTTTGTCTATTCATTAAAAGATTAGATTTTCTAGGTGCGTATGTACAAGATTTAGTATAAACAAAAATAAAAATGTGCATAGTATATAACAGCTCCGATAATTTAAGTCTAATACGAAGTAGATTGAACAATGATTGCCACTAGGAACAACCAGACCTGGTTGTTACGTAAATCGTATGTTCTAATTGACTTGATTAACAAATGACAGACGTTTCGATCGCTTTGATCAATATAATTGTTAATAAATAATTAATAATTGATCAGTGATTAGATATTGCAATAATTCATGTAACAATTAAAGAATCATTGTTCAACTCTTCTACCTCATATAAGATTTGTTGTCGTTAAACACGTCGCGATTAAATATTTTTAGAGGAGAGCATCTGAGCACCATGTACACACACGCGCTTTGGTGCACCAGAGCCAGACGGGAGCATCTCCTCAACACAAAGTACTTTACCTGCCGATGCGAGCGTTGCGCCGATCCGACGGAACTGGGCACGCATTTGGGCACTCTGCAGTGTCCCTGTAAAAAAGGACTCATGTTACCGAACGATCCTCTGAATCCGAACACCGACTGGTCCTGCAATGTGTGTCCGGGAATAGTCACGTCCTCGGAGGTCGCCGAGTTGACGGACAAGTTGGAGGAAGAGGTCACGAAAGTCATGGAACAAGCGAACGAGCACGTTTTGTCCGATCTTCTTTCGCGGTAAACACTTTCTCTGTTTAATTTGCGAATATTATATTTCCTGTAGAGTTGATAAAATTATTGTGCAAAATAAACACTTTTGAACGACGAATTGTTCATTTAGGTTGACGGTGCTGCTGCATCCTGGTCATCAACACTGCATATCCGTCGCCCACTCTCTGATACAACTGCTCGCGCCGAGCGATCCGACGAAGTCGGATCTGTGCAAACGCATTCTCGATACGGTAACCCGATTGGATCCGTATGGTGCGCGCTTGGTGCTTTACACGGCGGTCACGTTGCGAGAACTCGCGTCGTGTCCCGGCGAGGACAGACGGGTTCATCTCTCGAGAGCAGCTTCGTTACTGCAGGCGGAACCGGCGAATTCACCCGGTGAAAAGCTCCTCAGACTCATCCAGGTGGAACTCTGATCACGAAAGTTTTGGCGAGAACACAGTCGCGTATTTTTAAATACAGAAGCAAACAGGGGTTCGTTTTTTTCTCACTTTTATTACAAATATGCAAAATATTTTTTTTTGTTTTCCACGTCTGCGCGTCCACAATTGCTTGGTAGTTTGTATAAATATGTATTTGTTGTTTAATTTTCTTCTAATTTCGAGTGTAACTGTTCAGATATAGACAGTTGGTGAAAATTGTAAAATAAAAATTCGATATATATCTATTTAGAATAAAAACTATACACATACAAAAGACTTAAAATTATATATTATATAAAATGTACATACACATGTTATACGAATTATCAAAATATATACGTTGATGTGTGGTTGTTCCATATTTACGTTACTAATTGTGTTGTACACATACGATAAAAATCTAGACTAGATGACTGCGCCTCGAAATGCGACTGAAAATGATAAAATCTTGAAATCCGAAAGAGCAACTTTTCGCCCCAAGGCGTTGAGATACAACGAGATAATACACAAGCTGATCATAAATATATTATATATGTATCATCGTACGATCGTATTTGTACTTATCTTTTTTTTTTTTTTTTTTTTCGTGTGGATGGAGTTTTTTGAGAATCGTCGCAACGCTTTTGAAAACAAAGTTCTCTTAATAAGGAATTGAATTCTATGGATCATGTTAGACAAAAACGTCGCGTGCGTACACCCAGAAGAGGATAAGACAACGACTGGCCCTTCAGCTGAGCCGTGACCTGCAAGAGATAAGCCTTGCCGGGCTGCAGCCTCCTCAAGGTGAAGGGAAGCGCTCTGTCTTTCGGCGGACTTCGCTTCTCCTCGCAGACCTCGAACGTGTACTCGGACCGTCTGCGCCGATGGAGACCGCACTGATCCGGAACGGTCGTGACGCTTGCCAGGGACGACGAACTCCGAAGCTCCTTTACGAGGATGCAATACTTGGCGGCCCCTGCCGGCTCCACGCCTATCGTTACCTCGTGGCAGGTCCTCAGAGATCGGTACTCCCGCGGTGTACTTCTCGACGGTATCTGTGACAGCGCGTGTAACATAAAATGAAGTATAGAATTTCTCCCGATGCTCGTTTGTACACAGGAAAGATCACTTTGGTTACATACTTGCGGGTAAATCGTGGATGATTCTTGCGTCGCTAGCACTTTTATGGTGGATACTCGAACCAGCTCCTGCGGTGTGGTCGATATACGCAACGTGTACATTTTGCCGGAAGGTAGAGGGGGCACACGCAATGAGGCATATCCTACCACCTCTTTTTCCTGCCGATCATACGAAACGCTCATATATATACGCTATCTATATTGTATATCGTTGTAAAACCATTTCTCCATTTTATAATCGTGTCTTCGTGAATTTTTAATAACTGAGACTATTTGCTCAACAACGTTTGAACAAATTATATACGTAATAAATTGAATAAATCACATGTAATTTATTAAATAATTTAAGAACAAACGCGGCAAAACACGGAAAACAAATGTTTGCTTATTACACGGCTTAGCAAAAAAAAAAAAAAATAATAAAATACATTTACTAAGCCTGCAGAATTTTTCTTGCTGATCACGTAAAAACTAATCTTCTCGCTGTTTCAGCGAAACTTGTTTATCCACAAGAATAATTGTAATAAGTTTACATTTAATTATTTTTTGCCGACTTCTGTTTACCCGCGTTACTCCTGGTCCGCTTAATTTCGCCTTCACGATACCTCCGCCACAGGGAAGTACGTGAAAGGTGCTCGTAGTATTGTCCGGCGGACGATAACGAAAATTGACGAAGCCGTCTGTCTTCCGTAGATTGGCTACGGTGTAGCGACCGGTTCGCAGTATCAGCTCTGGGGTTTTTCTGAACCTGATAGCGTCGGTGGCAACCCGATTCGAAACGTTGTTCCGTGTGTTTACCTGTCGGATCAGCACACGATGTTTCTCTTATTTATACAGACTTGGCGAAATAAATGAAACGATTGCGATTGTACCATAGCAAGTGTAAATAAATATTTCACTGCAGAGAACATAAGTGGTCGATCTTGGATCGACTTCGTGCGGTTTTACAAACGTTCGATTTTAATTAAACGTGACGTGAGATAAAGAAAACACCGACCACATATAGAGTGAAGTTGTACGTAGTGTCGTATCTCATTCTGTGAAGCGTCAGCTTGGTCTGCCGCACGCAATGTAACCCTTCTGGAATACTGCGATGATGATGTTCCTTCGACGAGGAGGAGCCGGTTCTCGTCAGACGCGGATGAGCTTTCAGCACGTTTCGAGCGGCGCAGAGCGTCGACGGATGCGGCTGCGAGCCCGAGGTGACGGCCAAACAGTAGTTCGAGAGATGTGGATCCACCGGGCTGGAAAAATCAACGTTTTTCCCTTCTCTTCGAGATGCGCATTAAATTTATAAAAAAACGTTACGCGCGAGAAAATCTCAAATTCTCCTATTGTTGTTCGTCGCTAAAGACAGAGTTCTTTGAATTTATCTTATAATCGAGAAACGCGCGCGGCCAAGAGAATTATGTACCTTTTGCTCCAGGATATCGTCAGTCGCCGCTTGCTTCGTCGCTGCTGAAACCTCAGCGAACGGTACCTATACTCCTCGTTCGCGTACATAGCCGGCACGTGGTCCAGAGCGCTAGACGTCGCGTAAAGAAGCACCGTGCCGGGCGGACGTTCCGCCGAATCGTCGTTGCTCGTCGTCAGCTCCAACGACTTGATCTCGAACCAGTAGAGACCGGCTCGCGTCTTTGGTATCGTGAAATTTTGGTCCTCCGCGCCCTCGTACGAGAACAGAGGAGAACCCGGTTTCAGAGTCTTCACAGGCCATCGTGTTGTTTGCGCTAATCATTTCATTTAACACGACGTGAATAAATAAAAGCACTCGGAGGACACACCTCGTTAACTCGAACCTCGTTTCGCGACGCGAAAACCTCCAAACAAATCTCGAAACATAAACCGGAAACCTCTTCAATTCGAATTAATTTTTCGTTTCCGAATTTTGAGATTCGAGTTAGCGAGGTTTGACCGTGCAAAGAAATCGTGTTTGTATATTAAAAAAAATATATATAAAAAACGCTAATGAACATATTCTATGAAATGGTAAAAACATGTTAATCTCTCCGAACATCATAGAGAAATAACGAGAATTTTTCACGTACACTTTATCCCGTCGACTTCCTGATCGTTTTCGGGCGGCGCCACGTAACTGACCGTCCAAGATATCGGACCGCTACACGGGCTAACGAGTAACGTGAGAGGTGGTCCTTCCCGTGGACTCAAATAATAGAACCTGTAAGAATTTCATCTGCATCCAGTTTGGTATTGATGTTCGCAGCACGTTGAACGTATGCAAAACTCATCAAATTGGAATATAACGGTATAAAAATGTAATTTCGATCGTTTTTAATTTTTAATAATTGCGTTTTTTTTTTTTTTTTTTTTTTTTTTTTTAACACGGAGTCGAGAGTGTGTAAGTTTTTGCGCGATAACGATTTTGTATCACTTCCGACACGTTGCATTTCTCAACGGAATGTTGGAAAAAAACCGCGTCCGTCATAAAACTCCAATTAAGCGCCGATTTATCGTTTTAACCCGATACGCTCGCGCAAGCCTCTCGTTATCATAATCGCCATCGATCGGCAACGTTAATCCGACGAGGAACACCGCATCATGCGGCGGATGCGGCATATCATAATCGACATAATTGCCTTGTAGTTGCAACAGTCTCGAAGTCACGCAACACATATACATGCAAGCGCACGTGTATCGAATTGAGCGCGCCGTTATATTTAGTCACAATGTTTGATCAAACTGATACAATTTGTTTTTCTCTTCCACCCCTTTCCTTTCTCTCTCTCTTTCTCTCTGTCTCTGTATCTATCTCTTTCCTTTTTCTCTTTCTCACTCTCCGAAGATTACACCGGTTAACTTTACGCCTCAACAAGATTGCTCATCCTGTACCGGCTCCGTTCTCCGTTGTACCCTCTGTTGGAGGCGTGCTTTTTTTCTTTTCTTTTCGACAACGCGCGCGGTTCAACCCGTTAGCTTCCGAGCGTCGCCGCCATCGTCGTGTCGTCGTTCTCGAGGAACGTCGAGACGTTCGTCGTCGTCGTCGTCGTCGTCGTCGTACAGCCTGCAGTCGCCACACGTGCACCTCTCGTTCGCGTCTGGCGGTGAGACAGCTATTGTAAAATTAGCGTCACAGCACAATGCCGGCGTCGCGGCGTCTGGGGTCGCGTAGCCGCGACCCCCGTGATCTAAATCCGGCATCGCGCGCGGAGAGTCGTCCTGAACGTGAAAGAGAAAAAGAGGGAGAGGCGGGAAGAGCCCCGAATTGATCCTGTTGGTACGTCTGTTCTCTCTACTTCGTTTTCTTTTTCCTCACTTTTTCTCGTGTCACGAGTCTGCCGCAAGTTTCGTGGAAAGTCGCGACCGAGATAGGGTAGGGGCGCTTTGCGGCGCGTGGCGTTGCTCATCCTTCTTCCTCCTGAGGCCCGAAGACAAGAGCAAGGAGAGCAACTCTGCGGAAGGTGCGACTCGACTCCAAAAAAAAAAAAAAAAAAATAATAATAATAATATTTTAACGCGTACGGCTTNAATATTTTAACGCGTACGGCTTGAAACTAATTTTTGTTAAATATTATAAAATTTCTATTTATATATTTTTTGTTACAGAACATTAACGTGTGTTGTAGAACGAGAAAAAGTATTTCTCGTAATAACATTGGGATGCGATAAAATAATATTGACTCAAAAATTATAGTCTGTTTTTTTTTTTTTAACACATACAATGTAACAAGAAAATTCGCGCCACGTGTGATGTCAACGATATAGGAAGTGTCACGGTCTTCGCGCATTTGCATGTGTGCAAAGGTATTCAAAGTATGAGAATCGAGGAAGTGAGAAACGTTTATTCACGATTGTTGCCCTCGAAATTTGGCAAACGTAATCTCACATTGTTGAAAGAGTATTCGCTGTGCGCACGCACCACCGTATGCATATATGAATTATATTAAACTTAAATATGTGCGTGTGTGTACGCGCGAAAGAGATATTGTCTCGCAGAAGATTCGCATCCGGTCGCGATAAATATCAAAATTTGTAAAACCGAAAATTACACATGTAATTCTGTGTGTTTCTAGACTTTAGCCAGACTTTCGTGGAAACCATCTGATAGGAGAACTTTATGACGCGTAGCGTCGCGTCGCGACGGGCCATTAGACGCCGGGTGTATATATTGTAAGGGTGCAAAGGAGCATGAAGACAATAACGCGAAGCGGCCAAATTTTATCATTTCTCTCGATCGTGCGTTCAACAATCGATAACGCGCAACTTTTGTCCTCTCTTTGCACAATCAACACAATTTATCTCCTCAACAATATTTAATTATTTGCAATGTTTACACACGTAAACGCGAAGCTAAATAATTTTTCTTTTCCTCGACAATCGAAACAATTATCGGAGTAAATAAAAAAAATGTAAGAAAATTGTTATAAAACGATAATTAAAAAACGATTTGTTTCTGGAGCTGTAAAAAATGTCAAAGAAATGAGCAACTTGCGACAGCTTTTTCACGTATAAATTGTCGCAACGGCCTTCTCTCGTCTGGCATTTCCTATACGGTGTGGCGTCGACAATGTTTATCTCGCTGTATTCATTGCGAGTGAACAAAAGCATCGGCTGTAACCCTTTATACCGCCACGTGATATTGGTCGAATGTATCGAATCGCACGCGTACACAAAATGTGCATCGAATTACGTACACAAGCGTACACGCTGTGGTTGACGAAACGCGGCAAACGGGGTGTGCGTGACGTTGCTGTAAACTTCGTGGTTCTCCCGTCGTGTGTAGCGAGCAAACAATTTACGCACTCAAAAATAGTTGTTTAAATATTTCGCTCCGGCTAAAGACAGAGAGAGAAAAAGAGAGAGAGAGAGAAAGAGAGAGAAAGGAATACGCACACGCAGCTTGCGTGGCTATAATTGCGCGTGCTAATTTTGCCGGATGAAATTTATCGAAAAGCAAGACGCGGATTATTAGATTTTAAACAACCGTTGGTTGTTGTGTATAAAATATTTTCGCAAGAGCGCAGCAGCATTTAACAAGTAAGTTCTAATTGTCACAAAGAGTTGAGAAAATAGACAAAAAAAAAAAAAAAAAAAAAAAAAAAAACTATGTACGAGTCTGCAAATTATTACGCGCAAATGAGATACGCAAAAAAAGTCGGAGAAATGTGCCGAACAGTTAGTTATATTTAGAAGAGCGTGCAACGCGCGAGAAAAAAATTAAAAACGTTAATTATCCGGACTAAACCTGCCGAGTTATTTTCTCGGATAATTAAACGCGGCAAAAGCACGAGGAATCGACACCGCCGCCGCCACAGGCAAATCATAGGGCGGTGTGTATCCGGTCTCTTTTGTTATCCACCGGTTTGATTTCTATTATATCGCGTCGCGTTGATGAAAGAATCTTAGGACATATAACAACAACGTAATGCAATAACATTCTAGTAAATACTCACTGAGACACGTTACCGGGTCTGATGGTCGCCGGTATCTGGTACTCGGGATGCAACACGCCGGTCCGGTTAAATTCCTGGACGCGGGTCGGTCTGTCGGTGCCGAACGGACTGCCTATCGTCTGATACGGTTGCTGCTGCTGCTGCTGCTGATGATGATGATGCGGCGACTGCAGCTGCAACTGTTGCAACTGCTCCAATTGTTGTTGTCTGTCGCAGAACGGACAAGCGGCGCGGCCACGCACAATCGACGCGAGTATCGCCATCAGGATGATGATCGTGACGCGCGACATGATCGGTGCTGCAATGGTACCTCTCGGTTTTCTCCGCGGATGACGCCCGGCGACGACGACGGCGACGACGACGGTGACAGCGACGTCCGTCGTCCAGTGGCGAAGGAGTTCGACTGTGTGCCGAACGAGCGAACGAGCGAACTGCCGCCACCGCCACCGCTGCCGCCATCGCCCGCCCGTCGCCGCTTGGGAAACCACGCCGACGAAGTAACCCCTCTCGTTTTCTCTAATCGGATGACTTCGCGTTCGTCCCCCGTATTTTGGGAGAAACCCTCCTTCTCGCTCTCTCTCTCTCTTTCTCTCTCTCTCTCTCTCTCTCTTTCTATCTCTCATTCGCGCGCTCTTCCTCTCGCTCGCGCATTTTCTCTCGTCTCTCTATCCGCTCCTTTTATCCGCACCGCGTTCCCTCGTCTTGTTCCATCCGACCTCGTAAAACGAGGACTTGTTACCCTTTCGCCATTTTACGGTTTACATAATATGTGCGCTCGAGGTGGTTTCCGCCTCTCCGCGCTCCTCTGCGATTGCGTGCCACCCTCCCCAATCTCGGAAAACTCACATGTGAACTTGATGACATCAATATTCGTTCTCGTTAAGTGTAGTCTTAATGTTCGCGATTATTCGAATCTTTGTCCCGTTGTTCGCGGACGCTCTATGGCTTCCGAAGGGTAAAATCAAACAAGAGAGAGAGAAAGAGAGAGAGAGAGAGAGAGAGAGAGACGCGCGATAATCGCTATCTGGATCGAGTTTGCGAAATTCGCACTTTCCACCCACGCCACACGGACAACGATCTTCTTCCGATGAGAAAGAAGGCGATTGTCGGCTCTGTATGGCGGTGGGTATCGGCTGGTTAAGGTAAAACAAGGTGGACGAACTAGAGGGGGACCCCCGGTGATGCGGCGCGGTGTGGCGCGGTGTGTGCGAACGGCCTTCCTGTATCAACGGGGCGCGAGGAAAGAAGGAGCCGATATGAGACGCGAAGAGATCTTGCATAGAGGGAAGTTATATACGGCGCGCTGTATCATGGACCAACCATGGGACGATGATGACAGCAGGTCTGGCGAGTGGCAGGCCAATAAATCATGGCCTGCGGTGTGGGAACCTCTGCCTACGTGCATGCTACGTGCGTATGGGCGTACGCCATCGGTAAAACCTTTACTCCCGTGCGGGCTCCGATCGCGCGGGGTTGTGTGGTCCATGTGCCGATATACGCACACTGTATACGCACGTATACGCGTGGGACGCGCGCGCGCGCGCGCGCGTGTACCACGTGCTCGTCTCTCGTTCGATCTTCAGATGAAGTACACATGGTTGCGCGCGCGGGGCCGTGTGTACGTGTGTGCGGCGAAGCATCGTTATGCATACATCGCGTTATATTGTTGCGTTGTGGAAGCCAATTCGCCGCGATGAGTGACGGTCCGACTTCATGAAGTTGGGCCTTTTTTGGCAGTCATTTTTGTCGGGGCTCGGAACCCGGGACCGCGGGACGCCGCGCGCTTCGCCGAGGAGGCGTGCGATGCCTCGCTTCATACACAAACGACTCGCTTCCAAAAACGGCGTTGCTTATCGATGTTAAAAAGAGAGAGAGAGAAAAAAAAAATAGACGAGAGAGAAGAAAGATTTTCTCTTATTTCTCTTGTAGAGCCAAGGGTCAATAGGCAATCGGTACCTGTCACCTCGAGTTAATAAAACGTTTTCTCTCGTCTCTTTCTCTCTTTCTCTTTTTCTCTCTCTTTCTCTTTCACAAACGTTCCCTTGATATGCACATTGTTGTCCTTAGAATGTTACTCTACAAGATATTTTCTTTCTCTTTTATTGTCAATTCATCTTCAATGACATCGTTAACCAGAATTTTTACAACTTTTTGAAGATTAAAACCAATTGTGGCTTCGTACTTTGAAAGTTGTCAAGATTGCATACACTCTATTTTCCGTTAACTGTGCGATTTTGTTCATCGTTGTTGACTTGGACGAAAGAGAGCCAATTGAACGCTCATAAAGGACCCGGAGATAGAGCCTGCGAGACTGACGCTCGTATACATCGACCGAATTCTCTCAGCCTCTGTGAAAGAGAAAGAGGGCGGGGCCCTTGCATAAATTTCCATCGAATGCATGGTACTACGAGTGGACCGCTAGTCGAGTCAGTGTCAAATAAAAAATATGTTTACGAGCAAAAATGTCGGGCATTACGCCAGGCATGTTCTTACGCGACCGTTATTGTTTTAAACATCTCTCAAAATGTAAAATCAATATTTTTGACACACGGCACGCAATATTTTGCTTAAAAAATTGCACAAAGTAAAAAAAGTATTATATTATAAAATTTATATTATATAATTATTCTATAGGTTTCATGTATATATGTATATGTATTGTAACAAAATATATATGCGATTATCGCAACACGATCAAAACACGCTCTTCACGCCGCAGCTACAGAAAATCAAACCTGACGTAGTAGGCCAGAAAATAGTGAAATACGAGACTTCTAACCGCAAAACGAGAGACAAAGATCGTGGCTAATGCTGTCGTGCGAAATTTCTAAATTTAACAGTGTCTGGAAACATCTTACACGTGCTTTCCGAGAGCAACGGCAAAATTGATTAATCGATCGAGCTTGTTGAAAAAAAAATATATATATATAAAATGTTTTATTCGAACAATGTTCGCATCTTGATGAAAAAAAAAAAAAAATCAATTCCGCAGAAATAAAAATATCACCGCGAAATTTATTGTTCGCGGAATACAAAAATGTAAATTTTACAAATTTATGTGGAAATTTTATAGTCTTCATTGTGAAACGCGGGAGTTGCGTCATTTAATCGGTGCTATTGTTCCTCCATAAAGATATTATCGCGCCTACATTTTTCTCTCAGCTTTATTCACACACGCGCATAACTCCGAGGAATACACGTATGTATTTTTCGCCTCATCGCTCGATTAGAGGAGCCTCGAAGGTCGGCTTCGATGATCCACCTGTGTATCGTCTAACTTGCTCGAATAGCTCTCCCCGTCTTCTTCCATCCCTTCTGTTCTGTGCAGCGTGAAGACCTATTCCGCTTTAGGTATTCACCACCTTCATAATACCGACTCTATTGATGCGAAGGACCTGCCGACACCTTCCAAGTGTTACACGTGTTCCAAGGTATCAGGTGTCGCACGGGCAACTTTAGATCTTGTTTACACGTTCGTTTGTATTACGCGTATAGCGAATTATGCGATATATATATATATATATACACGTGTACGTGCGAAGTTTGAAAATGCAGCGATGTTTTGTAAATAAAATATATAAAACATTTCCAAAAAAAATATATATTCAATTTTCATCTGTCAAGCGTGTAAACACGCGTGTCACAAGTTGCAATTTACAGACGCTAAGTAAAAAGTTAAATAACGACGTAAAGAAAGGAAACCAACAAAAAAAAAAAAAACCATAAAGAAAACAACAAAGCTGAGTACGCCGACACCTTCTTTCTCAGACCAGATACGGCATATTTGCCGTCTGTGGGAGTTTACTTGTCGTATATCGCGCGCGGCATGCACATGTATTTATAGGTATCTTCAAAATAGTTCGAGAGCCAAAGTGTTGCAAAGACCGTAGAAATTCAAGCGAATATACACGCGCGCGTGATATGTCACATCGTTCCCTTGTGCGTTTCGTCCTCCTCTTGCAACGATGTTCAAGTACATCCTCCTCCGTTTCTGGCGGTCAACAACAATTTTCTCGCGACTACTCAATTAACGTTTTTCTTTTCTCCATCTCTAATTGTCACTGATGAAATATCAATCGTACACAATTTGCGTTATTTATTGTGTTTACTATTTTTCGTTATTGCCAATATTGTTCCCGCGAGAGAGCGCGTAAAGTGCTCGCTCACAGTTTCGAGCAATGTATCATTCAGAAGCGGGTCAGAGGAGAGAATGGAAAAAGACAGAAAAAGAGAGAGCAAGAGAGAGAAACAGAGAGAGAAAGGAGAAAGGGCATGTATGCATGTAACACTGTCAACACACAATGCATACCGGAGCCCGCGCGTCTCTCCCTCCCGGAATACCGATCTTTCGGTTCACAACCGACGTATTACTTATTTATTAGGACCGTACCCGGGTGGTCCGCGACATGACAGAATCGATTACGCGAATTCGCGGAACCGGCCTTCCTGGGCTAAAGCCCCTTCGGAATTATGCTTCCACTCCTTCAGATTCAGTCTCCCCAGCTTCGGTCTCTCTCTCTCTCTCTCTCTTTCTTTTTCTCTTTCTCCCTCATTCCTCATCTCTCTCGCTTATCTCTTTTAATCCTATTTTCTCTCTTCCTCCCTCTCATCTCCTCTATTTCGTGCCTTTCCTTCGTCCTTCTTATGCACCCTCTTCTCCCGTTCTTCCTGCTTTTCGGCTCTCCTCCCTCGAAGCGCGTCCAGAGGCGCTCTCGTTTCTATCGCGTCGTCAAACTCTCCTCTTTTTCCCCTCCCCTCCTCTTCTCTGTGCCTTTGCCCTTCAGCTTATTATATAATCAGAATAACAATAATTTGCTACGAAACTGCTTCGACTGCTCATCAATTTGAGTGACAGCTGGTTACCCGCGGCTATGCGTAGGCATCGGGCCACTTAGCGACTCATCGACCGAGCGGGGTTCCGGGGGCGGCGAGTGAACGAAGCAGTTTCGGGTTTACCTCCGCGCATTTACCGGAGATTCAATTAGCAATCCAGTTAGGATCGTCACGGATCGAGTATTTCAAAGTTAATTAAATGATATTTAAAAATAATGATGACACACGTATTCAACCCCAGACACACTGGGGTCTGTGAGACTCTCCCACCAAAAATAAAATGTAAAATGTTTTCTTCAGACTGAAAAGAAATTGATCTTTTTTAACGCATGTTTTTCGCTACTTATCGTGAAACTAGGATTAATTTAAGCGCATGGACGTAACGTTTAGTTAAAAAAACACAAACAATTAATTACAATACGATAGTTTTCTCGAGCGCTACAACGAAGAGACTGACTGAGGTCACTCTCCCAGATAGTGTCTATTTAAATTAACGACAAAAAACAACGAGACACCAAAGTTTTTAGCGCACGTATCGCAGA